CCCGTTGCTTTGGCCCCTGGGTTTGTGTGTGAGGAGGGCTGCTGCTGCTTGCTTGTGTCTTGGTACTGGCCACACACACGCACACACACATACGGACAGAGACGGAGGGACACACGCGCACGTGCGCAGCCTGCAGCATTCGCCGACAACTCAGCCACCACCAACAGCGATATCATTATCAGCAGCGGCAGCACCACCACCATTAACAGCGACAGCGGTGGTAATAGCAGCAGCAGCACCACTATCAGCAATACACAATCACCATCAGCATCAGCAATATACAATTACCATCATCACCATCAGCAATACACAATCACCATCATCACCATCAGCGATACACAATTACCATCATCACCATCAGCAATACACAATCACCATCAGTATCACCATGACCAACACAAAATTACCACAAACATCACCACAAGCATCATCATTAGCAGCAACACAATCGCCATTGTCACCACCAACACCACCACCAGCACCATCCGCAACACGATCGCCATCTGTACCATCATCATCGGCTGTAGCAGCGCCATCGCCACCACCGCCACCACCATCGTCAGCAGCTTTAGCGTCACCACCATCCAGCAGCAGCAGCAGCACACAGCCGGGCACCCAGCTGACATCTTGCGGCGGCAGCAGCATGGGGCGAGATTGTCGCCACCTGGACCATCTCCTCGCCCATCGGCGGAGCGCGCCGCTCTCCTCATCACCGCCGCCGCCGCCGCCGCTGTCCGTCAGCATCCTCCTGCTGCTGCTGCTGCTCCTGCTGCTGCTGCTGCCTCAGCCGGCAGAGTCCTGCGGACCTGGTAGCTTGAACGGGGGCCAGCGGCGCCCGGCGCGCAAGCTGACGCCGCTCGCCTTCAAGCAGTTCGTGCCCAACGTGGCCGAGAGGGCGCTGGGCGCGAGCGGCCGCTACGAGGGGAAGATCGCACGCGGCTCCGAGAGGTTCCGGGAGCTGACGCCCAACTACAACCCCGACGTCGTGTTCAAGGACGAGGAGGGCACCGGGGCCGACCGCCTCATGACGCAGGTGAGGAGGGTGCCTTGATTGGGGGCGGGGGGGGATTAGGTGAGGGTGAGGATGGATGATGGTTATGATGATGGGGATGAGGATGTGGAGGAAGATGATGATGGCGAGGAAGATGATGGCGAGGATGATGATAGTACTGCTGATGGTGGCGCTGGTAATGATACTCCTAAATGAATATAACATGATCATTAGTGATGATACTATTAATAATGATATGATCAATCTAGATTTGAAGTTTTTGTGACTGCAAGGATCCATACTCTTTGGTTCTTTCGGTAAAGTCACGTGGGTAGAAAATTCATAAAATCATTAATTTATTTTATACCTACGTGACTTTACCGAAAGAACCAAAAAGTGATGAAATGATCATCAGTGATGATACTCCTAATGATGAAATGATCATCAGTGATGATACTTCTAATGATGAAATGATCATCAGTGATGATACTCCTAATGATGATATTATCATCATTTTTTATGATCAGTGGAAACAAGAAGATGCTCGGTGTAGTCGGCACTTTGCTTTGTTCACCATTTCGTTTGTTTTTAATCTTTGCTTTATGTAACCCCCGCTCTCTCGCTCTCTCTCGTTCTACACGCAGCCCCGTGTCTCCCTCTCTTTCCGTCTCTCCGTGTTGGTCTCCATATCTCTCACTCTTCCCCCCTCCTCCTCCTCCCTGTAGTTCCCCTCTCGCCGTCTCTCCGTGTATCGCTCCCCCTCTCTCCCTATTCTCATTCTCTCTCCATTTCTCCCTCTCATCGTGTCTATCTCTGTCGATGTCTCCTTCTCTCTCCTTCTCTACCCTTGTTCTCCCCGTGCATAACCCCCCTCCTCTTCCCTCGTCTCCATCTCCCGCCCGCTCCATCTCTGCCCCTTTGTCTCGTCATTTCACCCCCCTCCACACCCCATTGTTTACCCTACTGCCATCTCCCTTCTCTCTCGCAATTTACTGTCTCCCCGTGTCTCCCCGTGTCTCTCCGTGTCTCTCCGTGTCTCTCCGTGTCTCCCCGTGTCTCCCCTCCACTGTACCCTTCTTTCCTTCCTTTCTCGCTCCATCTGTCTACCTCCCACCCCACCCCCCTTTGTATTTCTCTCCCCAACTCCTTGTTTCTCTCTCGCTCTGCCTCTCTCTCTCCCTCTACTCTCTCCACCTACGCCACCCACACACCCTCCTGTGTCCACCTCTCACTGAACTCCGGTCCCTACACTTGGGAGCCGGACAAGCCCCTCTCTGCACCAGCGTGGACAGCACCCTCGTGGTGTTCACCTTCTGAAGCGCTCGCTCGTCACCGTGGCGTGCGCGATGACCACCACCACCACCACGTGACTTTTCTTTCGTGTTGTGCGCGGCGCATTTAGCGCCACAGCACGTGGATTTGTAGCGTTTATTTTCATTCATTTGCTGGTGACTTTGTGCATTTCATATCGGAGTCGCCTCCAGCGCTGTTGCTGCTGCTGGCGGCAATAAAAGTTGTTTAAAAAGTCAAAAGTCTGCCCCGTCTCTCCCCTCTCAACTCTCTCTTCCGTCTCTCTCCGCTCGCTCGCTCGTGCTCAGCGCTGCAAGGAGCGCCTCAACTCGCTCGCCATCTCCGTGATGAACACGTGGCCCGGCGTGAAGCTGCGCGTGACCGAGGGCTGGGACGAGGACGGCCACCACTCGGAGGAGTCGCTGCACTACGAGGGGCGCGCCGTGGACATCACCACGTCGGACCGCGACCGCGACAAGTACGGCACGCTGGCACGCCTCGCCGCCCAGGCGGGCTTCGACTGGGTCCACTACGAGTCCAAGTCGCACGTGCACTGCTCCGTCAAGGCCGGTGAGCGCGTTGCGAGCGACGAGTTATTCGTGGTGGGACCTCCTTTGCCAGCACCACAATATACTAATAGGGGTTTCCCCTTTTTTCTGGCAACAAAAAATGCCACCTTTTGCAAGGAATCGTGCTTACATTAGCCACAATACTCGCAGTCGAATGCCGCCTTTTGGCGTCATCTGGTCGAACACTGTATGAGACTAGGCTCTAAAGAAGGCTGTCTCTGGTGTGGACCAATCATTTTCAAAGACAATTCATACATTATCAGAGTATTGTTTTTTGTTTTGCATTTGACTGCAAGTATAGTGGTTAATGTAAGCATGATTCCTTGCAAAAGGTGTCAGTTTTTGTTGCCAGAAAAAAAGGGGAAAACCCTATTGGTAGAGTTATTCGTGGTTCGTGATGTCGAACCGGTTAATCGATTGATAATAAAAAAAAGTGTGTTTAGAAGAACAAGAAGAAAACAACTACATTTGGCGTTTTGTCAATGACAATATTTCTGTGGCGTATGTGGGCGTTGCAATTAAACGAGTGCGCGTGCGTGTGGCGAACTTCTTTCGCACCGTACGTAGCCAACCGCACTAATCGGAGGTGTGGGGGCAGGACAACAAACGTGGTGGCCCCACGGCCATCGCTCCACGGTAAGTGATGTGTGTGTGTGTACTGTATGTCGTAGGCGACGTTTCGGGCAATGGTCCTACTTCACGTGCTGCGGTAGACTATTCAGTAGTAAACAAGTAAGCCGTGTCTCCTTCACATATCCGACTCGCTTAAAAAAACATCACAGCCATAAAACAAATACCTTGATGTTTCATGCGTAGAGACGGATATGCGATGAAGGCGACTGTGTGTGCTCATCTCATTTAATAAAAACAATTTAATTCGTGTTCTCCCACAAGCAGCTCATGATCGAGCCGCAGGGATATAGCTCCGTGGCCTTCAGAGGCAAAAAGTGTCCTCGGGCGCCGTGGCTACACACGGGGGGGGGGGGGTGGGTGGCCAGCACCACGCCCGACAGGCGATGTTTACACACTCTGTACCAGGTACTCATTTGAGGCTGAGTCGACCTAGGGGGAGGCTCAGAACCGGTTCCGTTAATCGCCAACTGGTGTTGGCCGTGAGCGGGAATCGAACTCGGCTCGCTGGGTTCGTAGCGCAGCGCAGCGCCAAACACAAAAGAAACAGATCCCCCGTATAGTCTTCAACAGGCTGTAGGGGCAAGTGCTGTTAGCGAGCACCTATGAAGGCCGGCGTGTCACACGAGGGGGTGGGTGGCCAGCACAACGCCCCGCCGCCTCTGTCTCCCGAGTGGCGATGTTTACACACCACATCAGACATACTCATTTGAGGCTGAGTCGACCTAGAGGAGGAGGACTTGGACCGGTTCAGATAATTGTCACCGGTGTTGGCCGTGAGCTGGAATCGAACTAGTCTAACCGGGCTACACGAACACGGCGGCGCTAACCACACACATACACACATACACACACACGTGTGTGTATGTATGTGTACATGTACACACATACACACATACACACACGTGTGTGTGTGTGTACATGTACACACACACACACACGTGTGTATGTGTGTGTGTACATGTACACACATACACACACACACACGTGTATGTGTGTGTGTACATGTACACACACACACACACGTGTATGTGTGTACATGTACACACACACATACACGCGCCCTTCATGTGACCCACGCTGTATTTGTCCACTCGTGTAAAAGTGACGCTTCTCTTGTTTCCTGTTGAGTGTTTAACCTTCGGCAGCGACTTTCCGCACCGCGTGGGGAGTCACACTCCGTGCGACTGACGATGTTGCTCCGCTGGCCGTAGCCGCTGTCGTCACCGTTGTCACTTTGGAGCGCTGTCGCGACGGCTCTCGACACTGCACGGCTCTCGCGCCTGGCCACCTGAGTTCGAGCCCCGGTCTCGGCTCGAACATTGCTGGCGAGTGACGTCGGGACCGCACAATCCCCCAACTTCTTCCCCAACCGGCGCTGTCCAGAGTGCTGAAGTTGCGAGGCTTGGGGCTGACTGTGTGCTCCATGCTACGCCATTTACCTGTGTTGAGAGCCCCCCTTTTTGTCGTCGTTGTTGTTGTTGTTGTTTTCGTAACGCATCTGCAAACACAAAAGCATAATGTCGAGCAAGACCAGAGTGGTTATTGACGCATGTGTTGAGTTGTCGTCGTTGTCGTTGTTGGTGTGTGTTGTTGTATATGTTGGGTATGAAAATTTGTTATGTTGTATGCGTGCGTGGGTGAAATTATTATGTTGTATATGTGGGTTATGAATATTCAGTGGAAATAATAATAATTAAATGAAATTTGGCCAAATGTGTAATTATCCGGAAATATGTTAATTTATGTAATTACGCACATTTTAATTATGCCAATTCGAGAGGTAATCGTATTAATTATGCGAGTGGGTGTAATTATGATAACGCAAGTCGTTATGATAACCAGACCCCGGTTCACCCCGTTATCGCTTTAACATTTACTGAGTATGTATTAGTGTGTTTATTAAGGTCACCAAGTTCAAATCTCAACGCAGAAGCAGATCTTATGCATAGATTTCAGGAAAGAATCACACAACCACTTCTGTATTGATCAATTTATTACTAATTCAACCTTAACTATGATATAATATGCGAACTCTCAATCCCGGAACGTCAACACGGCATCAATACAGTATCATCAACGATTGTCTGATTTCACTTTGACAACTGCACATGGATCACGCATAACGCGATGGTTGTTAGTGAGAGAGAGAGTCGTTAAAACACGCAAATACTATGCTTAAGAAAACCTTAATGTTAATGAATGATTATACTCAATATTGTTCACGCAGTACCACACTCCTTATTGACCATACGCAACCCTTATCACGTTGTTAACACCTTGGGTCACGGGACAGTTGAATATTCTGTAGAGGATGCGAGTACGTGCGGCGATTATGACTGAAAGATACTTGAAAGATTATACGGCGATAAAAAAAAACACAATCAAAAACAGTTATTATTCTTAAAGGCACCAATCTCAACAGATACATCGGCAGGTTATCTGACAACAGAACGGCTCGGAGTAAGGGCCTGCGACGGTGCTCCTTTTCCGAAGCTCGTTATCTTATACCAAGTTTACTAATTGGGGACCAGATCACCTGATAAGGATCCGGTGGGCCACCACTCCCCACGTGAGCGTGGCTCGGCGGAAGGAGGTGCCAAGAATCAGTTCGTATTGATGGATCTGTTGGGAATTTATGCGATTAAGAGTACAGCCCACTAAATATTAAAGATAAAAATTAAGAATACTCTTATAAACGACGGAGGGCCATCACTCGGTCTCGTTGTGATGCTTTCCAGCCACGGATGGCTTATGGGTTCGAGTGTTTTTGAGTGGTAAGAGTTGTCTTGAATAGTCAGTGTTCGGAGTCGATTCTTTAGGTCAAACAGACGCCTGGTGGTCGTGTGGTGAGGGGGCGGTGCGCGTCATACGTATCAGTTGATCCCCTGTCACCGTGGCGAACTGGTTCGGATGCCCGTTGATACGCTGTCGCAGTTCGGAACCCGGTCGGTAGGTGGCGCCCACAACTCGCTCGTAGCGTGCAGCTCTGGGTTGTCGCCGATCCGCGATGCTCACCACTCCGGTGGCAGCAGAGACCCCCGATTCGGCAGAGGTTGACGAGCTGAAGATGAGTCGAGCCGACCCGCTGGTCGCAGCTCGCTCCTGAGTCGACCCTCCCGGTCGAGCTCGCTCCTGGGTCGACCCGCTGGTCGCCCTCGCTCCTGAGTCGACCCTCTGGTCGCACTCCTGAGTGGACCCGCTGGTCGCACTCCTGAGTGGACCCACTCTGGTCGCACTCGTTCCTGAGTCGACCCTCCCGTCGCACTCCTGAGTGGACCCTCTCGTCGCACTGACTTCCAATGCTCAGGATCCTTTACTTTATGCCGAAAAATCCCCCTGGATCCCGCCCACAAGGCGGGGCTTCTTCCGATTTTTGCTGTGTCAGGATCTGTCCGTAGGCAGGTGTGTCCATGTGTCTGTCCGTATGTCCGTGTGTCCTTGTGTGCATCACTGACGGTATATTCGTTGTCACACTCCCTCCATAAACCCACGAGCAAACAATCAGATGTTACAAATTGCCTCGAGGTCGTCTCTCTGTCTGGGTGCAATATTATCTCTTGTCTGGCCTTCTTCATGAACCCAAAACACAGACGTTACAAATGTCTCATAGGCGTCTTTGTTCGTGTTGCACAACCTGGAGGGAGGGGCAACACTCTCTCCGACCCGGCGCACAAAGAAATGGTTAAAAAGTTTTAAGTTAACATTTGTCCCTTACTATTTCACAGTTATGATTCTGTATGTAACCTAAGGTCTGTCGTTTCCCATCGTGGTGCTTGACTCAAGTGTAGGTGTTTCCCCGAGCGTATACACACTCCTATCCCGCGCTGCGGGGATACAAAGACGGCCGGGATCTCCCTTTCTCTCCGACCCTGGGTTTCACATCGTTTTTTTTATTATGTATTTATATTCGACCTGGTGGTGATTCATCCCGTTATCCTGGCTTTTCATAAGTTTTACTTTTGTCTTTTCATGCATATGCTTCGGGTCGAGTTGTATAGAAAGCATTAAAGTATGGAAATAACATTTCATATTGACTTAATGATGGTGATGGTTCAGTAGGCGTACTTGTGACCTGGTTTAATTGGAGTGGGTGTGAATATCAAACTTTAGCCTACCCTGTTGTTAAATTCCGACTTTAACGTTACTTTAATAGCAATACAGAATAATTGAGCTTTTTGTCTTAACTAGGCGAACGCGAACTTCTGGTGACCCCCGCAGCCGTGTTATTTAGCTGGGTCTGCCCGCCTTGAGAGATATACAACACTTTTTTTAAATCAGCTCTCCCCTGTCCCTCCAACCTTCTGCTCTGGGAATGTTATTCTTAATTTCAGGTCCAAGGCCTCTTTGGGTTTATCTTTGTTTCCTCAG